GTGAGCTCCACTTTCCACTGCATTCCTCAATTAAATAAATTTGGTGTAATTGGCAGTAAAGTCAAAGCTCCAATGGCTAGCTCTAAGGGCACTGCCCATTAGATGTGCATGTAGCACTAATGATAATTTTACACCTTAAATGACAAATACGTAAAGCTACATTTGTACACTTTAATAACCACAGTTACTCCCTATACACAAAAGATTGTGATGTTGTTAATACTAACATTGTAATAACAGACATACCAATGTCACAGTGATCTAATATTTTGTAGAAAGTGCGAGTGTAATAGACTAGAGTTTATAAAAATATTTCTTTAAAACAGTTAAATATATTACAACATTCATGCAACTTTACATATCTTAACATTTCTAGTTTACTATAACATACAGGATAAGTTATGTAAGAGTTATTTGTACCCATAAGGGTGTCAATGGAAGATTGTTTTATGTATATTTTGATCTTTAAACTGAGAGCTTTTAGGTAAAGACTCGTTTGTGACTAAACTTTGTTTAATGTTTCAGGGGTCAAGAGTCTGAATTACAGAGTAGGCCTAAAAAAAAAGTGAAATTGTCAAAGTATTAGGGACAAGCAGCTCGAGTAATCAAACCTTTAGATTCCATTTACAGTATCTCTAAAGTATTTTGGTAAGTCTTAGCCCTAACAATGTAATTTAAAATAAAGCTCAAAAGTCGTTAAAATGTTTAAAATAGTCTTTATAGATCATCTTTTGTAGAAAGAGGATAAAAATAAAACTACAATAAATGTACACTTCAATCCACAAACTTAACATCAGAACACTATCCTCAAACATACAAGTTGTCCAGTCCAGAGAACAAAGTCAACCCAAACTTTTAGACCTTAAGTCTCAAAAAGGAAACAAGTATCGAAAAACATTAAGGAAAACCTACATTCTGCCGACCAACAGAACCTAGCGAATCTGTCAACTAACAGAAAACCTACATTCTGTTGACCAACAGAACCTAGCGAATCTGTCAACTAACAGAAAACCTACATTCTGTTGACCAACAGAACCTAGCGAATCTGTCAACTAACAGAAAACCTACATTCTGATAGGAGAAACAAGAATAAATCTTTAATATAATCTTAGTAGCAGCAACTAATCTATGAATACATTCGATATGTTCCACTTCAATCAAAAAATATTCTTAATTCAAATGTTAAAATGATAATAATGAACGTTTTTAGTAACTCTTCCCTGCTTCCAACCTCACAAGATAATTCATTTTTATATTCCTAGAAGGTTAGTTTAAAAGTCTGACTTAACTATGATCCCTGAACTAAACTACCTTCTTGAAATGTTGAACTATGTTCTGAAAGTTTATTAATAGATAAAACTGCAAGAAGTAAGAATTAAGTTAGTAATCACAATTAGAGAACAATAAAATTAAGAAACTTCGTTTAGTAAATTATAAACAATGTCTTCAGTACAATTAATATCACACTCAAATAAAATTAAGATTCAAATCGACACCTTTAGAAACAGTACAATTAATCAACATTAGCTACTTTAAGATGTTTTCTGGTGATAAAAAGGTTAATAGAAGTAAAAATAAAAACTATTAATTGTTTCTGAACTAAAACATAAATCAAAACACCAAATGTTTTCTAAATTAGATAAGAATGATCAAGCAATTTCAACATTTCATACAATATAGTTTACTTCATGATGAACACATGAATAATGAAATGGTAAAGTAATATTAAGTGGTTTCACTAATGTAAAGTATGCAGTGTGTTTCCTCTTCAGAAAAATATTGAAACCTAGTTCAAATTTATGCAAATACAAAATCCTACGAATGAAATACAGCGAGAACCATTTCTACCTTTCTTATCCCACAGTGTATTAAAGTCCACATATTTATCTTTACCATACTGGAGAAATTACACAATAAACTGGAGTTTCTTAATAGACAACTATAAAAGACATCTTACTTGTTATAAGCTTGCATGATAAATGTAGAAATATCAGTATGAGAAACAACTGTTAACATAACATGTAAACTACTGGTCACATGATGGTGGCCTTTTGTTTTTAACATTAGAACATGTTTTCATGTGAATTTATGTTGAAAAAATTAGTGTATCTTTTATATATGTTGATTAGTTTTTAAATAAAATTGTATTATATAGTGTTGATTGTTTGGTTAAGTATATTTTGTATATCATTAGTTTAGTAGTGGCATACAACAAGTGCAATAATGTTCATGTTTCTGGTGCTAAAACAGATCAACAGACCGTTCACTTGTATTTAAAGTATTGTATACAAGTTTAATGTTTTAAAGTTACTGATACTTGTAAACAACATTTAAATATATCATTAAAACTAAAACTTACCAGTCAAGGGACATACTTCTACAAGAGAATTGCATTCTGGATAGGTGAGGCTATTTTCCCCATTGGCTTTTCAAACTGGTAAACAAAACAAAAAAGTATAAATCACAAGTTACAGGAAAGTAACTTTTAAAAGTTATATCTATTAATGTTAAGATTGAAGAAAATAAAACAAATTACCAAGTCTATCCCAAATACATTACTATAGCCTTAACACATTCTGAATCAATCTTAATGTATATAGTCTCATAATAATTGGTACTGAAGTGTTCAAGACTACAGAATCTTGTATTTTGAAGTGTCCACTCATTAGTAGTGGATCTCAGTTCCAATAATAACATTAAACTGTCAAACTTTAAAATTAAAGTTTAGATGAAAGGTAATTTACCTATTATTCAACTACAACAGTAACTAAATATGTAACTAAAACTTCCAACAGGACAGTTTTAACCAACAGTAAACAATACAACATGCTTCTAAAGAAGTGTTATTTCTTAGTACACAATCATTAATATTTTCATGCTGTTGTTTTCCACTTTTAAAGTAACACCTTTGATACCAGTCTGAGACTATGTTAACTGTTTCCATGGTTATCAGTAACAAGTAGTTTTGTGACATTCCACAGAAACCTCTAAACAAACAAGTGTTTAGCTTTCTTGTAAACTAACAAAAGTTAATTAAGAAACAGAAATAAGTGAAAACACAGAATAAACTTGTAGATGAAAAATTAAACAAGAACTGAAAATAAACAATTTTATATTATAACACTTAAAAGATCACACGTATAAAGTTACTTAAATATAATAAGTCTTACCTTCTCCATAACCTTGTTATATAAATAATTACGGCAGTGTTAAGTTACAAACAAAAAATAACAACACAAGACTAAATCAATGATTCTAATATTACAGTCACATTGATAAACATCACAAGTTTACATTATGTACAAAGTTACGTGCTGAAAAAATTAATGTCAAACTAGGAACTTACGTTTACAGAAACAGTTAAACAAAAATAGGATTTAGAAATTCTTTTTGCAAGATAAAATCAAAATATAATCTTATTTTTAGAAATGAAAGCTTTAGAAGATACCTTTTGACTTACACTTTCCACCTGATGAACACTAAAATAATGATCGCAAGTAATACAAGAAACTCTTAACAAAAAGAATATAGAAAGACAGTTCTGTTGAATAAACAGTCAGCCATTTTAAACTTATGAATGTAGAACGTTACATTTACTCACCAGTTCACAAGATAACTATACTAAAATTATTACATCTGAATGGAATACAACTCCTGATGTAGAACTATCAACTAATCAAAGTTTAGGACAAGATAAATACTTAATGACTTCCAACAACTAATGAAAGTTTAGGACATGATAAATACTTAAAGACTTCTAACAACTAAACACTTTATTGCTAACCTTTCACATTATTGTCAAATAGTTAAATGAAGACATTACATAATGAAGAATTATAATGTGTATTTCAACAGTAAACTAGGTGTTAAGGATCACACACACCAGGCAAGGAAATATTATATCAGATATGAGAAAGGAAAACTTGATTCCAAAAGTCTCCAATTCACATTTTAATTCAAAAGAAAAAAATAGTCAAATGATAAATGTCAAATTGTACAATGTTTAATCTTTAAGCAAGGAACTTTTACTCAGTCTGTTATAAACTGTTTATCAGACAATAGACCAGACAATATTATCAAATGGTCCCCCCATCCCAAATCAATTTTTACTGAAAACT